TGGAAGGCGGCGCAAACAAGAAGCAGTGGCTGTGGTCCTGAAGTGCGATGGGAGACACTCTTTCGGCTCTCTTTCTGCACTCGTTCCGGGTGCTCGAGATTCTTACTGGGATGGGGTCCTGAAGTGCGATGGGAGCAGCATGATTCTGGTGTGTTACGGGGCGTGAAAACGACCACAGCCATTGCTTTTCTTTGGTTGCCGCCTTCCAGCCCGCAGAAACAAAGCAGTGGCTGTGGTTCTTGTCGTAGAGCTTGGCAGCTGCTTCTTTCTCGGCCGGCTGGAAGGCGGCGCAAACAAGAAGCAGTGGCTGTGGTCCTGAAGTGCGATGGGAGACACTCTTTCGGCACTCTTTCGGCACTCGTTCCGGGTGCTCGAGATTCTTACTGGGATGGGGTCCTGAAGTGCGATGGGAGCAGCATGATTCTGGTGTGTTACGGGGCGTGAAAACGACCACAGCCATTGCTTTTCTTTGGTTGCCGCCTTCCAGCCCGCAGAAACAAAGCAGTGGCTGTGGTCCTTGTCGTAGAGCTTGGCAGCTGCTTCTTTCTCGGCCGGCTGGAAGGCGGCGCAAACAAGAAGCAGTGGCTGTGGTCCTGAAGTGCGATGGGAGACACTCTTTCGGCACTCTTTCGGCACTCGTTCCGGGTGCTCGAGATTCTTACTGGGATGGGGTCCTGAAGTGCGATGGGAGCAGCATGATTCTGGTGTGTTACGGGGCGTGAAAACGACCACAGCCACTGCTTTTCTTTTGTTGCCGCCTTCCAGCCCGCAGAAACAAAGCAGTGGTTGTGGTCCTTTTCGTTGAGCTTGGCACCAGGGAAATGACCAGAACCACTGCTTCTTTTTCGGCCGGCTGGAAGGCGGCGCAAACAAGCAGCAGTGGCTGTGGTCATTTCCCCGTCCCGCATGTGTGGTCCGGAAGCGCGGTGGGAGCGGCATGCGGCACCGGGCACTCTCGACGGTCCTGAGGTACGATGGGTGCTCGAGAGATTTTATTGCTGGGAGGTGGTCCTGAAGTGAGATGGGCGCAGCACGACTCTGGTGTGTGGTCCTGACGTGCGATGCGAGCCAGCATGCATGGCACCTGGCATGCCCGGCACGCCCGGGCCGTGGAGCGCGGGCGCGCGGCGGCGCTGGTGCCTGGCACGGGGGGCCCAGGCCTCCCCTTCGCAGGCGGCGGGGGGGGGGCCTCTGCTCGCGCAGGACCCGCCTCCTCCTCCTCCTCCTCCTCCTCCTCTTCCTCCTCCTCCTCTTCCTCCTCCTCCTCCTCCTCTTCCTCCTCTTCCTCTTCGGGTCTCGAGAGACGGGGGTCACTGCAAAGCAAGGGCGCCCTCGAGGGCGCGAAGTGATGCGCGCTTCGCGCTGCGGCTCCGGTTCCTCCTCGGCCTCCTCTTCTCCCCTGGGAGGCGGCGCGAGAGCGCGAAGTTGTTCGCACTTCGCGCAGCGCGAAGCGCGAAGTTGGGAGCCCTTGCTCAACAGACGGGGGTCACTGCAAACGGGGGTCAGCCAGAGCGCCGGATCCTGCGGGATCCTGCGGGATCCTGCAGGATCCTGCAGGGCCAGGGGCGCAGTGACCCGGGCTTGGGTGCAGGATCCTGCAGGATCTTGCAGGATCCTTCGCGTTGACCCGGGTTTGGGTGCAGGATCTTGCAGGATCTTGCAAGGCCTGACTGACCCCGGTCTGGATTGACCCGGGTCAGAAGAGCTCCGAGTGCGACGGCACGGGAGGGCTTCGTTGCGGGGCGACTGCCCCCTCTCTAAATCGAAGAAGACAAATATTGCCATGAACATAAACTTGTTGGCGAGCGCCCAAAAGTTTATGTTCATGGCGTTATTTTTCTTCTTCGATTAAGGCAAGGCTGGTGCTCTTAGACTACTCAGAGGAGGAACGGGCACCCACGCCTCTACCCTTCGCCCGTTTCCCCCTTGTTCGTCCTCCTGGGCCTCCCTCGTCGCCACCGCTGGATTCGCCTCGAAATCCTGGTCAGAACGCACCCGGGGAGAGTTCCGGGGAGTAGCGGTACCGGTACCTTTTGGTCTCCCCATCTACGACGAGCGCGCGCTCAGACCAGGAGGGGCCCTCGGACTCCCCCTAGGGCTGATAATAGGCGAGAGCGGTTCAGGATAAGGCATGTTGTCTCCGTGTTTCTTACCCAGGGCTTGCAGGACGTTCTGATATGATATGTGGGGTGTAGGTTGGCAGGATGCTCAGCCAACTCGCGCAGTTAAGTTTACCACAATGGACCCCCATTCCTCTGCCAACACTCCAGGCGGTGGTGATGGTGGTGGTCTTATCAATTTATCTACTTCTCGTCCTCGTTCAAGTCTAGTTCTACTGTGCTTCTGTTTTCTCATTCGATCTCTCAGGGTCTCTCATTTTGCACCGAGCGCGCAGGAGCTGGCTTGGGCGATCTGAGAGCTGGAGGCATGCTTCAGAAGAGGACGACCTCACTGCTCCACCCGGACCTGGTGCACGCCCTCGTCTTCCCCCACCTACCAATATTCCTCATGTAGCTACGCATCAGCATCGGGCATCGTAACGACAAACGTGGTGTCCCGGTAGCTGCACTGTTTATAGCGATCGGTTCATGGCGCACGCGGACCATCCGCTGTCAAAAGGTGTTCCCGCTGCAGTTCCACGCTGAGAGGACCACCGGAGACCGCATGCCGCATGTTTCTTCGGTCCTCTGGAGCTGCACGCCGTCTTTTGCTCTCCCTCCCCCTCTCTCTACCAGAGGAAGCCAAGGAGGAGGAGGAGGAGGAGGAGGAAGGAGGAGGAGGAGGAGGAGGAGGAGGAGGAGGAGGAGGAGGTAGGAGGTGAGGAGGAGGAGGAGGAGGAGGAGGAGGAGGGAGGAGGAGGAGGAGGAGGAGGGGAGGAGGCAGGGAGGAGGAGGAGGAGGAGGAGGAGGAGGAGGAGGAGGAAGGTAGGGGGGGCAGGAGGAGGAGGAAGGCCAAGGTAGGAGAAGGGAGGAGGAGGAGAGGAGGAGGGGGAGGACGATGGCAGGGAGGACGACGGGGCCGAGGGGGAGGACGACGAAAGAGGGCGGGAAGCCGCAAGAGCAGGGAGAGTAGGACGACGAGGTCGAGCACGACGACACGGTGAGCAAGACGTGGCGGAGAAGTACAGGGAGGAGGAGGAGGAGGAGGAGGAGGAGGAGGAGGAGGAGGAGGAGGAGGAGGAGGAGGAGGAGGAGGAGGAGGAGGAGGAGGAGGAGGAGGAGGAGGTGGAGGAGGAGGAGGAGGAGGAGGAGAGGAGGGAGGAGGAGGAGGAGGAGGGGAGGAGGAGAGGAGGAGAGGTGAGGAAGGAGGAGGAGGAGGAGAGGAGGAGGAGGAGGAGGAGGAGGAGGAGGAGGAGGAGGAGGAGTGGCAGCACAGCAGCAGGATTAAGTCGGGCCTGTCTCTCGACAGGGGGAATCTTCAGAAATAGTCAGAAAATCGTCTGGGGACGATTTTTGGACCATGTTCGAGCACTTTTGGTGCATGTTTGGGGTATTTTTATTTTTCGACCCAAATCCCCCTGTAGGGGGATATGCCCGACCTAAGCGGGGGGGAATATGGGAGCGTAGCTGATACAACAGGAGGAGGAGGAGGAAGAAGAGAGGGGCGAGTAAGACGGGGAGAGCAAGGAGGAGGACCAGGAGGACTTGAAGTATATGGAGGATGGGGGGGAAGAGGAGGAGGAGGAGGCGGAGGAGGAGGAGGAGCAGGAGGACGAGGAGGAGAAATTCGCAAGGGGACGTGGAGGATGAGGCGGGAGGATCAGGATGAGGGAGGAGGAGCGGAGGGACTGGGACAAGGAGGAGCAGCAAGAGCAGGACGGTTGCGACCAGCAGGACAAGGAGGCCAGGGAGGACGAGGAAGGGGAGGACGTGGACGTGGAGGAGGACGCGGAGCAGGAGGAGGAGGAGGAGGACGACGACGGAGGAGAGGATGAGGGCGAGGATGCCGAGGGAGGAGGAGAGGCAACGAAGGCGTGTCACACATAAACACACACACACACACACATGCACACACACACACAGGCGGGGAGGCCCGCGGGCGCGCTGGCGCGCGGGGGGACCAGAGGCCTGGCGTGCGTCGGGCGCCCCCTCGAGTGCGGGCGACCCCGGAGAGGGACCCGCCCGTGGCTTGAGCCAGCGGCTACCGACACGCGGCGGTTTGGCCAGCTCCCTCCACTCGCCAGGGCGGTGCACCACACACTCACACCACGCCTCACCGCCCAGGGAAGGTGATGACGGCAGGCACGCTGTCGCGGAGAGAGCCGCACGGGCAAGTACCATTTTCGCCTGCACGGCAGCCCAGAGGGGAGCCCCTGCTCATCCCGGAGGAATATTTGAACCTTTGTCGAGCGGTGTCGCAACCAATCGATCGGGGGTGGACAGACATCCTACCCTGACAAGTCGATTAAGGAATTGGCCGTATTCGGCTCGCGAGAGGGCGTCGCGGCCGTCATTTTTGCGGGTCCAGGTCCGTCGGCTTTGGTCCCAGACCGTTTTCACTAAGGGGAGGTCTACTAAAGGGAGGTTTGTCCACCGCCGAATCGATGGGGTATCGCTTTCAGGGCAGACCACCAAATCAGACAGAGCGGAAGAATCAAGGCGAACAGCGTCAACAGCGCGGCGGTTCCCTCGCACGCGCGGGCAATTAAGCAACTGAGTTTCCCACGGCTTCAAGTCACGCGCGTGCACGTTAAATACGAGTTTTGACGACGAGACGCATCGGCATGTGAACGCGCCTTTGGCACGTCCCAGGCGCATCTTCACCACATGAGGTCCAAGCACGGCGCACGGAACCCGATGCGATTGTTCGCGCGTGCCGACGTGACGTGCCCGTCATGTCGCACAGCGCGTTCCACGAGACTTCGGTTGATCACACATTGGTCGGGAACCGGCGCAGGACCGACTTGGCGCAGATTGACGCAGGAAGGAATTGACGCGTTGGACTCATTAGATTCGGCGTCGTGACAGGCGGTTCGCGCATACTCTTAGGCTGAAGCAGCCAAACAGCAAAGCCCCAGCTGTCAGACCTGATGGCACGAGAGCCGGACGGGTTGTCATTTCGCTGTTGGCCTTTGATTTGCGTCGCTTGCAGCATGCCGCCAGCCCAACAAGAGGGACGCATCCGCGAGCCCGCGCTGTGGCGCACACACCGCGCCGGCTCACCTCGGTGCCGCGCTCTTCCCCTGCAGGTTGGAGTGCCGCTCCCCCACACGGTCGACCTCTCCTGCGTCCTCTCTGGGCCCGCAGGTGCCGAAGGTGGCACCAGGGTCGAACCAGAGGTCGGATTTAGCCAGGACCCCAGGCATGGGGACCCGGTTAGCGGTCGGGCCTGGAGCCCCGAAATTGGCCAGAATCACTAAACCAGGTCTGCCGTAGCTGGTGTTTCTCGGGTGACGGCAGTTCCGGTTAGTGGAACGGAGTGGGGGGGGGGGGGGGCGTCCCCCAGTACACATCACTAAGCCAGGTCACACTAAACCCAGTTCTGCCAACGCCCGAAGAAGAAATGGCATGAGCACCTCGACTTCTCCCGACTTGGCTGCCGATGTCCGCCGATGCGTCTCGTTCCGATGGCCGATCCGATTCATCGATGTTCCCCTGCGGGCCAGGGAAACTCGACCCCCCTTGACTCGGAGGAGGAGATGGCACAATCAACTTTTCGAAGGTCCGCGCGGATTTCTTGGATCGGTGCAAGGCCCCCCCGACGGCGCCTCTAGCGCCGCCCTTGGCGCAAGCGCTATGCGCTGTCCTCCTCGTCCTCCCCAGTATGCTCTAGTGATGGTAGGTTCCCCGTTTCCTCTCCCTCATCATCTCCTCCTCCTCCTCCTCCTCCTCCTCCTCCTCCTCCTCCTCCTTCGTTGTCACCCGAGCGCTTTGCGCGGTCCGCTTCCTCGTAGCCCCCCCCTATCCCCTAGTTTTTGCAGGCGCCCGCCCCCTCATCGCCGAGGGGGGGGGGCCCGACGCCGGGGTCTCGAAACATGATGTCGATGCCGAGCTCGTTTCCTCTACGCATGGGGCGAGCGTCGGGGCGCCAGCCGATGCCTTTGGCGTCTCCTCCGCTGCGACCGCCTGCCGGTGGGCGGGCTGCCCGCGGTGCCGAGGCGAGGTCGTGGGCCGCAGGCCGCCGGCCTGCCTGCGGCGTGCCCGCCGCCGCTCGTTGCCGCCCCGCGCCGCTCGTGCCCTGTGCGGGCGGGGCGCCTCCGGGCTCTCCTCCGACGGCGCGCCCTCTCCGTTCGGCTTACAGTCGCAGCAGCAGCAGAAGCAGCAGCAGCAGCAGCAGCAGCAGCATCATCATCATCATCATCATCATCATTATCACCACCATCAGCAGCAGCAGCATCATCAGCATCAGCATCATCATCAGCAGCATCATCATCAGCAGCATCAGCATGAGCATCAGCATCATCATCATCATCATCATCATCATCATCATCATCATCATCATCATCATCATCATCATCATCACCAGCATCATCATCATCATCATCATCATCATCATCATCACCATCATCCTTGCATCCTTGCCTCCTCGGTCCATCCTCGGCCACTTCCGTTGGCCGCGCCCCGGTCGGGAAGCTTCGAAATGGGTTCCCAAGGCCCTTGCATCCTCATCGCGCATCCTCACTACACGGGTTGACTGTAACAACAGAAGCATCAACGCTCGGAGGTCCGCGCGAATTTCTGGGATCGGCGCCGGCGCCCCCCCCCCCCGGGCGATCGGAGCGCGGCAGCCAGGGGCGGCGCCGGAGGCGCTGCCAGGAGGGCCCAGCGCCGTTGCGAGACATCCACGCGGGCCTCCGAAAGTGTATGTTCATGCAGCCACTGCTCCTCTGCCATGTCGGCATGTCGCCAGGTGAATGGCATCATGCCGCGGGCTCACGATCCTAATAGATTTCGCACGCAGACTGTTCTTCGAGCAGTGCACTTGCCGGTGAGCTGGGCTATCTTTGTGTCTTGCCCTTTTCGCGGGGCCTCTGTTGAGCCAGGACTTTTCCTTGTTCTTGTTATCAGTACTTATATTATGATTATTTGTTAGTGTTAGTATTATGCTTCTTGTTTTTATTCTTCGTTTTTTATGATCACTATCTTTATTCGTATGGCTCCTCTGTGGCAGGCTCGCGCTCTCGGTGCCCCAGCTTCCCAGGCTCGGGCTCCCCGCGGCGCCGCCGGCCGGCCGCGCGGCCCCGGGCCAGGAGCGCCGCGAGAGCCGCCCCCCTCGGCGCGCCCGCGGGCCCCCCGCGCCGCGAGACATGGCGCAGTTCCTGGCGGCGAACGCCACCGGCGGGGGGGGGTCGGTGGCCACGGGCCTCCTCCTCCTCGTCCTCGTCCTCCTCCTCCTCCTCCTCCTCCTCCTCGTCCTCCTCCTCCTCCTCCTCCTCGTCTTCCTCCTCCTCCTCGTTCTCCTCCTCCTCGAAGAAAAAGAAGAAGAAGGAGAAGAAGAAGAAGAGCAAACGCCTCACCATACACGTAAGCCTGCGGCGTTCCGCGCGGAGAGGGGGCCGGTGGCCACGTCGGGGCTCAAGAGACGGGGGTCAAAGCAAACAGGGGTCAGCCAGGGCGCCGGGTCGTGCAGGATCCTGCGAAGACCCCCTCTGGCTGACCCCGGGTTAGCGAGCCGCTCGTGGCCGCGAGGCGGCCGCGCATATTGGCTGGCCCGGGTTTACGAAGCCCTGCGCTGCAGTTTTTTGTCTTGCATTTCAGTGGTTTAGTTTCCTGCTGACCTGGGTCTGGCGGCGAACGCCACCGGCGGGGGGGGGGATCGGTCAAGCAGTGGCGAAGCGTCCTGGCATGCCTATAGTCCTACCAAACAGTGTCCTAAGAACCTTTTGTGGTTCCCACGACATGTTCTCAGAACATTTCTGGCTGGGACTGTCATGTTTCATCACATCGGGTTTACGTTCCAAGAACATTGCTTTTGTTCTTGAAGCATTTTTGGGTTCTACGAACGTTTCGTGGTAGGACTATAGAAATGCCGGGACGGTCGGTCCCTGCTCAAGTCGGTGGCCACGGGTCGAAGAAGAACAAACGCCACACCATGCACGTAGGTTTTGGGCGTTCCGCGCGGAGGAGGGGCCGGTGGCCACGGGTCGAAAAAGAGAGAGGCGCCATAAGAAGAAATGTTTGGCGATCCGCGCGGGGTTCTGGGAGCCGCGCTGGGCCCCCCCAGCGGCGCCTCCGGCGCCGCCCCTGGCGCGCTCGGGGTCCAGGCCAGATCCAAAGAAACTCGCGCGGAGCGCCAAAAGTTTATGTTTGTGGCGTTTTTTCTTCTTCTAACGGGGCTCCGCGTGCTCGATCGGAGTCGATGCCGTCCGAGTCTGTTTCGACTCGGCTTCGGGTTCTGATTTCGATGTCGATTTCTCAGTGGAGGTTTGTTATTGTAGGCTTCCCGGATGGGGTCAGAGTAGACGTGGTCGGAGGATCGCGCCGCATCGCCGATGCAACATCGGAGGCCTCTAGTTACTGGCCTGCCGATGTCCGCCGATTCGACTTCTCCCGACCTGGCTGCTGCTTTTCGCCGATCCGTTCCATTCCGATCGCCGATCCGACTTATCGATTCGAATCTGGGCTCTCTTGCGGACAGGGAAAGCTCGCTCCGCCCCCCCTTCTTCGAAGGAAGAAAGACTTTCTTCCTTCGAAGGAAGAAAGACATCCGCGCGACCTCAACTCTAAGTTGAGGTCGCGCGGATGTCTTGGATCTACGCCACGGCCCCTTGGCGGCGCCCTTTTGCGCCTATGGCGCGCTCCGCGCGCCAGGGAGGTGACCAGCGCCGGGCTCAAGACGCCCGCGCTGATCTCCAGCAGTTTATGTTTATGCCGTCTGTTCTTCAGGAGGAGGAGGAGGAGGAGGAGGAAAAGGAAGATGAGGAGGAGGAGGAGGAGTTTAGGACAGCCCCAAGGGGAAGAGACTCGCGAGTCTAAAATTGAGAGGTCAGTGGCACCCCTCCGAGAGGGATTGTTGCCCTGGAGGACAGAGCTCCCCGCGCACTGACCGGGGCCCGCGACGGGGTGCCACGACCTGCTATTGCTCTGCCCTGAGCGCCTCCTTGGCCCGCACTCGCTCCGCGAGGGCAGCCAATCGCCTCTCATAATCGGGGGCAGCAGGAGCGCCAGACAGGGCAGACGGGACAGACGCACGAGCAAGAGTTTTACACCGCGGCTTGGGTAGCACAGGCAACGCTGAGGAGGAGGAGGAAGAAAAGGAAGGGGAGGAGGAGGAGGAAGAGGAGGAGGAGGAGGAGGAGGAGGAGGAGGAGGACGAGGAGGAGGAGGAGGAGGAGGAGGAGGAGGAGGAGGAGAGGAGGGGGGGGGCGTCTCAGAAGGCGCAGAAGGCCTTTGACATTCTGGGAAGCCTTCTGAGCCTTCTCCGAAGCCCAGAGCCACGCCGCCTCTGAGAGGGCCTACGTACCCCCTCTCGCATCCCCCCTCGGCGTGCCTTCGAGAATCGGCAGCGCAGCGTTCCCCCCTGCTGCCTTCCTTTTTCCTCGCCATGAGCTAGGCGGGTCCGAAGAGAAAGAGCGTGTTTCTTTATTGCTTAGCGCTACGACGGGCGTCATGGATCCCGCCGCCGCCCCCCTATGACGTAACGTTCCCCCTCCCAGTGCGCTCAGGGCACTGCCGCCGTGCGCATGGGGATCCGCATCCGCATAGGAATCCGCATAGGAGTCTGGTCCGCAGTCGTTGTCGTCGTCGTCGCTCGTCGCTCATCGTCGTCGTGCGCGCGGACGCGGATGGAGCCTGGTTCTTTTCTTCCGGGCCGATGACGGCAATCATTTGAGGGCGGATGGATGGGGCCGATGACGTCATGTTTCGCGCCGGCGGCGTCCGGGAATGCCTAGGAATGACCGAGGACGGGTAGCAGCAGTATGTAGGTGGCGATCTGCACCACAGCGCCTGTGTACACCACAGTGCCTGCGTGCACCACAGCGCCTGTGTGCACCACAGCGCCTCCTGTACACTGGAGCCACAGACATTGCCTTGCAATGTCTGTGGCTCAAGTGGACAGCGCACTGCTGTATCATTGGATGATGACGTTTTCGCTGTTGTCACGCGGCGCAGACTGGGCCAACATACGCGCAGCACTGCTTGAGCCCAACACTGCCTGAGCATCACCGTAACTGCGAGCAGCGGGACGCCTGTGGACACTTCGTCGCATGTGAACACCAGCGCTTATGGGCAGCAGGAAGGCGCAGACGGCAACAGGATCAATGAGCACCCCATGCATCCCCCCGCCTCCCTCCCACCTCCTCTCTCCAACGATCCGCCCCCAGACACCACTTCCAACCTTGCATCCTTCATCCTTTCACTCGTCCTCCCTCCATCCATCTTTCCATCATTGCTGATCCCTCGCGTCCCCGACCTTCATCCATCCAACACGCGATCCTGCTAGCCATCCAACCCTCATCACTCCCTCCCTCCTGCGCTCTTCCTCTATCCCTCCAGTCATCAGGTCGTTCCTCGTGGCTCATCCCGCCTTTTGTCCGTAATCCTTTATTTGTCATTGTTTCATCTGTCATGCTCGGGATATCTGTCCTCGTTTCATCCGTCCATCCCTCATCCAGCCATTCCTGCTGCATCGTCCTTGCTCCCTCATCTCCCTGTCCTCAATCCCTTTCTCCTGCCTTTTTCACTACCCCCGCCCGTTTGTCTTTCTTCATTCCCCCCACGGTCTTCCATCCCTCGCCATCAATCCCTGTACCCATCTATCTCTCCGCACACATCCCTCCTTCATCCATCCGTCCGCCCTTCCATCCCCCCATTCGTCCGTGCATTACCGCTCTTCGTTCAGATCGTTCTCCTCATTCTCATTTTCGTCCGCCTGCGCCTCTTCCCCTTCCTCCGCCATGTCCTCCCCCTCCTGCGACGCCTCCTTTTCTCTTGGAAGATCTGCGGCGACATATGCGGTTGAGTCTTGGGTTGCATGCGCCGCATGTTGCGACACTTCAATGGTCAATGCAAATCGCTCGGGGATTCATGTAATCATCACTGCTTGAACCCAACAGCGCTTGAGCACCATGGTGACTGTGAGCACCCAGGCGCCTGAACACCAGTTCTGATAACCAGCACAACCACGCAGAGCACCTCGTGATCAGCTTACATGCACGCCCCAGGATGCGCCCAGACAGGCCCTATCATGACAGCAGAATGCCCCCCATCGCACTCACACCGCGGCCCGGTCTGGAAAGGGGGCGGCGAGGGCGCAGCCCTCCACATCATTTCGCCCAAGTGGTTGGCACGATCGACCAGCGCCGCCCCGCACGAGGCGACAAGATGTATAACAGTGCGCGCCAATGCAGCGAGCATGTACCAGTCCTCGAAGCAGGACGTGCGAGGACAATGCATTGTTCAAATATATCCTGTCTTCCTTTGCTCGCACCGGGCGCATGAATTTTGAGAATACGTCGCGCTCGGAAAAAAACGTTCATGCTGGTTGCTTCGAACTGTATCCCCACCAAGTTTATGTCGAACTTGTGTGCTAACAAGTTGCAGTCAGAAGCTCGAGGACGTGCCACGCGAAACGCTCATTGTCTACTGCCTTGTGGTTTCGAACCAGGCGCACACGAATGTTCAGAGGACGCCCCATGCAATTCGTTTGATTACAAGTCAGAGCCCCGCACGAAACCCTAGCCTTTCTAGTGCTCGAACAGAGATCGAATGTTGTTCGAATCGTCTGTTGTCGAGAAAGTCCCGCGCGACACGCCCACTTGTATTGTTTGGGGCCGAGTTCGGACCTGGCTCGAACCTGTTTTCCGAGAATGTCCCGCACGACTGCCCATTTTTCTATTGCTTGGAGCCGACTTCGAGCCTGGTTCGAACCTGCCTGTCAAGGAAGTCCCGCACGAGACGTCCACTTCTCTATGGTTTGGGGTCGACTTCCGAGCCTGGTTCGAACCTTTTTAAGGGAGTGTTCACGCGGTTCGCCGCTTTCGAACCGCCATTCTGTTCAGGCTCACAAGAGTCTGATTTGAGGTACAGGCTCGAGGTTGCGTGCCCCCCGCTGGCACAGCGCCACTCCCGTCGGATTGTGCCAGGGTCACCTCGGGTCCATTCCCGCGCGCCTAACGGGGCACCTCCGATCCGTTGCGCCATCCTTTCAAAATTAGGCTTTCTAGTTGATCCACGGCACTGTTTCGCTCTCTCTCTCTCTCTATCTCTCTCTCTCTCTCTCTCTTTTCTCTCTTTCCCTCCTTCTGTTTTTATATTTTTATATATATATATATATATATATAGATCTGCATGTACAAGTATACATGTAGGTATACATGTATGTATGCATGCATGTCTGTCTGTCTGTATGTATGTATGTGTGTGTGGATATATGTATGTGTGTATGTATGTGATTATGTATGTATGTATGTATGTATGGATGGATGGATGGATGGATGGATGTATGTTTGTATGTATGTATGTATGTATGCATGCATGCATGCATGCATGCATGTATGTATGTATGTATGTATGTATGTAGCGCATGCATGCTTAGTTGTCTGTATGTATGTCTGTATACATGTATGTATGTATGTGTGTATGGATGTATGGATTGATGTATGTACTTGTGTGTATGCCTGTATGTAGGTATGCATGTGTGTATGTGTATGGGTATGTGTATGTGTATGTGTATGTGTGAATGTATGTATGTATGTATGTATGCATGCATGCATGCATGCATGTGTGTAGGTATGTATGTATGCATGTAGTTTGTGTGTATGTATGCATGCATGTATGTATGTAGACGTGCATGCATGTGTGTATGTATGCACGTATGCGTGTAGGTATGTATGTGTATAGTTGTATGTATGTATGTATGTATGTAGGTAGGTAGGTAGGTAGGTAAGTATGTATGTATGTATGTATGTACGTACGTATGTATGTGTGTTTGTTTGCTTGTTTGTATGTATGTGTGTATGTGTGTATGTCCGCATGTCTGTCTGTCTGTGTGTCTGTCTGTCTGTCTGTCTGTCTGGATGTACGTATGTACGTATATGTGTATGTATGTACGTATGTATGTATGTGTGTGTATGTATGTACGTATGTAGGTAGGTCGGTAGGTAGGTAGGTAGGTAGGTAGGTAGGTAGGTAGGTAGGTAGGTAGGTATGATCGTGTACAGGTAAAATGTACGTGCGCGTATATGCACACATATACTTGCAGTGGCCGTCGGCCCATCCCGCCACCGTGCTTGGTTTGCGGGTTAGAGGCCCCTTGGATGGTCGTTTGGATATCGTGGGAGGCCTCTCGGGGTCCTCTTGGAGACAGTTTGAGGCGTCTTAGGGGCCGTTTGCGGGCTTGGACCATTTTTGTGGGCCTCTTCGGGCGTGGGGCTTCTAGGGGTCCTTGGGCTCTCTTGGGGGCCTCTTGGGGCCTCTGGGGGGGGGGGCTCTTGGGGGGCCTCGGGGCGGAAGGCTCGAAGTGTCGGTTCGGGTTCCCCCTCTTCGGCCCCTTTTTGGGGCCGTCTTAGGGCCTTATTGGGCGATCTTGGGCGCTATTTGGGCAGTTTTGGGGCCCTCTTGGTCCGTCTTGGGGGCATCTTATGCCGTTTTGGTGCGGTCTTGGGGGCTTCTGGGGCCATCTTAGAGCGTCGAAAGCTTGAAAACACGAGAACGCGACTTTTGCCGTTTGGGAGCCCCCTTGGGTGGCATCTTGGAGCGCTCTTGGGGTTTCTATGAGGCCCCTTGGGACGTTTGGGGGCCATCCTGGGCGTCTTGGAGCGCTCTTGGGCTGTCTTGGAGGTCTCTTGGGCGCTTCTTGGGCCCCTCGGGGCCCGTCCTGGGGTCCCATTGACCTTTGGAACAGTCACGCGAGGCAGCCCAGAAGCGCGCGGGAGCGCCCAAGGAATTTGAGAAGTTGGGGCCCCAGCCCCTAGAATATCACAAGTGGCACGCGTGCCATGGCTCTTGCACAACAAGGAAGGGGGAGGAGGAGGAGGTGGAGGAGAAGGGGGGAAGAGGGGGCAAGACATCGCCCCTCGATGCCCAGCAACGGGGCCCAAATCCCAGGTGGGGAGGGGGGGGGGAAGGTAAAGTGCTTGGGGCGGAGGGGGCACGGGGCGGAGGTCTCACTGGGGCGTTGGGAGCACAAAGAGGAGGGGGGGGGAGGGGGGCACTGGGCGGGGCTTGGGGCAGAGGGCCACGGGGCGGGGGTCCAACTGGGGCGCTGGGGACGGGGAGGAAGGGAGGGGTGGTGGCCGCGCGTCGCGACGCGGAATAACAGTGTCGGGGCGGAGGGGGGCACGGGGCGGAGCCCCCACTGAGGGCGCTGGGGGCGCGGGGAGGGATGAGGGGCAGGTGGTGTGCGTCGCGACGCGGAGTAAAGCGTTTGTGAAGGAGGGGGCAGTGGGCGGGGCTCCCGCTGGGGCGCTGGGGACGCGGGGGGGCTCGGGGCAGAGAGCCACGGCGCGGGGGTCCCACTCTGGCGCTGGGGACGCGGGGGGAGGGGAAGGGGTGCGACGCGGAATAAAGTGGTCGGAGCTCTAGACACCCTGCGCAAGAGAATAATCCCCCAGTCCTGAGTACAGAGAACAGAGAACACATGAAAACCTGGGGGGAATTCCACGTAGTGTCTATACATGTGTATATTTATATATGTATACACCTACCTACCACACACCACCCACCCACCACCCACCCACACTCCACCACTTACATACATTACATTACATTTAATGCATGCATGCATGCATGCAGGCAGGCAGGCAGGCAGGCAGGCAGGCAGGCAGGCATACATACATACATACATGCATCGACATATCTACATACATATATATATATATATATATATATATATATACAATAGAACCGTGCACCCGACCCCTGGAGCCGCAGGGAGCGCGGGGAGGCGTCGTCAGCGTGGACGCGCTCCCCGGCGCCTTCACGCCGCTGCAGGCCCCGGCTTTTCCGCGGGGCGCCCCCCCCCCGGCGCGGGGGTATGTGTCCGGAGCCACACCGCCCGGGGCATCGCTCGTCGGGGGCCTCGGCGGGCGGCGGATCGATCGTCGGGGGATACATCGTCGGGGGATCCATCGTCGGGGGCCCGTCGTCTCGAGTCGGGCGTGTCCCTCTACGGGGGGAATATTAAAACATGGGAAAACATAGTCTGGAAACAATTTTTTTAACCACTCCTTTTTTTTCCCCCCAACCATCCTGTGGTGTTGGGTCCTCGTTTTGAAGAGACAGCGCCCCGCGTCTCACTCCGCCTCCTCTCCTCCCTCCTCCCTCCTCTCCCTCCTCCTTCCCCCTCCTTCTCGAGTCGGGCGTGTCCCTCTACAGGAGGAGTATGCAAAAATGGTAAAGCATCGTCCGGGGACGATGTTTTGACCACTTCGGAGCCTTTTTTGATGACTCGTTTTCCATTTTTCGTCCAAAAATGGGAAAACATAATCTGGGACGATTTTTTGACCACTTCGGAGTCTTTTTGTTCTTGATTCGTTTTCCATTTCTCGTCCAAATTCTGTCTGTAGGTAGACATGCCGACCTCAATACAGTCGGGCCTCCCCGGGCCAAAATGTCCACCGCCTGCTAGCCCAGAGATCCGACGCTCCAGAAAATTTGGAGCGGGCGGGTTTGGGCAGATGTCGGCCTCTGGGGGCCCTCGCGGGGCCTCGGGAGCGTCAAGAAACGACTCAGGACGAAAAACCGGACCTGGAGAAGTGGTCCGGACCTCTGGGGCCCACGCATCGAAAAAATTGGAGCAGCTGGATGTCTGGGAGGGTACCAGGACGTCGGTTCCACAGGAGGTGGCTGTGGATAAGTCCCCGCCTCGCAGCCTCTCTCCCCTCCCGGCTCGGGGGCCCCCGCGCGGTGTGGTGACCGCACCGCGTGGTGACTGCCTCGTGTGGTGAGTCGGTGGGTATGCGGGGTGCTTTGAGGCCCTGGCGGCGCGGTTTTTCGTTCTGGGCGTGTTCGCCCGGTGTTGGACCCCCGGGCCCTCAGATCGGTCAGCTCTAAAAAAATGACGCAGGATAGACTGGGCTCTGGGGCTCTGGATCCGATTGTCGCGATGCCGCAGTGTATCCGCAACGTTGGGCTTCAGAGCGACCGCACGTTTCTGGGGCGTGCTTCCTTCTCCGCGGACGTCTCGGGCGACGGGGACCTCCAGTCGAAACTCCACGCGGATCTCTTGGGTCGGCGTTGGGCCCCCCCCCTTGGCGGCGCCGCCTCTGGCGCGCTCCGCGCGCCAGGGGCAGGGGGGGTCCAGCGCACGTCCCCAGAAGCCCGCGCGCAGCGTCAAAAGCCTGTGCTCATGCCGCTTCTTTCTCGTCCTCGAGTCTCGGGCGACGGGGGGCCTCCGGGGTCCCAAGACGGCGCCGCGGCGGACCGTGCGGCGAGGTCTTTCGGGGTCCCGAGGTCGCCGCACGGTCTCTCACCGCACCGTTTTGGGGGACCCCCTCTGAGCTTCCCCCCCCCCCCCGCGGCCTGCCCCGCCCTCCTGCCGAGGCCGTCCAAGAGGGGAACGCAATAGGACCGACGACTCACAAGAGTGACTGTACTTGTTGGAATCCCCGGGTTTATCGGATGTGACGGTTCTGAGCATGTTCTTTGGGTGGAGGGCAAAGGGTGAAATCCAAAATGCCGTCTCAATTGGTTTTCGAGGCTTGAATCTCCAAAGGGTGAATCACAAGACGGATTGAGTTTCGAGGTGCAAGAGCCCATAAGGATTTCACCCTGAGCCCTCCACTCTAAAATGCTCAGCGGTTGAGCTTGACCAAGCGAAAGAAGAGGTCGATCATATCCCCTACAAGTGGCTCCCTGGGTGGCGCCCGTCTTCGCTCTTGGGTCATGTCCGTCGTCTTCGGGCATGGGATCTTGGGCTTTGCCCAACGATATGGCTTGCTTCCTGCTCACTCCAGGGCAAGCTCTATGCATTCATTCGGCCTCATCATCCCTCCGAGTATGCTCTTGACAACCCCAGAAGGTCTTTAGTTTTGATCCCCCCTTTTCACTCGGCGGTGAACGGCACTAGTCCTAAAACCTCTTCCTCCTCATCCCCCGTTTACCCCTCCTCCTCATCATCATCATCCCCAGCCTGAGGAACGACTCGAGGAGGCATAAATATTGTTATTAGCCTTACCATTGTTGGAATGAATATGCATATTGCTCTTACAAGTGCTACTGCTCTTACGGGGGAGGAGCAGGGAGAGGGGAAGAACGGTAGTGACGACGACGACGAATCTTACTACAACCTACTACTACTACTACTACTACTATTACTACTACTACTACTACTACTACTACTACTACTACCAGTACTACTACTACTACTACTACTACTACTACGACTACTACTACTACTACTACTACTACTACTACTACTACTACTACTACTACTACTACTACTACTACTACTACTACTACTACTACTACTACTACTACTACTACTAACAACTACTACTATACTACTACTACTACTACTACTACTACTACTACTACTACTAATACTACTACTACTACTACTACGACTACCACTACGACTACGACTACGACTACTACTACGACTACTACTACTGCTAACT